GCTTCAAGTCCTCTTCACTTTCAACAAGCAAGGTTGTGTCATCTGTATAACACAGGTTTTTAATGAGTCTTCTTGCAATCCTGATATCCCATTCTTCTTCATATAGTCCAGCTTCTCCTATTATTTCCTCAGCATACAGATTATGTAAGTATGGTGAAAGGATACAATCCCAACGCATGCCTTTCTTGACTTTAAACCATGCAGTATCCCCATGTTCTGTTCAAATGATTGCCTATTGGTCTAAGTAAAGGTTCTTCATGAGCACAATTAAGCGTTCTGGAATTCTCATTCTTTGAAATGTTATCCATAATTTGTTATGGTCCACACAATTGAATGCCTTTGCATAGTCAATAAAACACAAGAAAACCTCTTTCTGGTATTCTCTGCTTTTAGCCAGGATCCACCTGACATCAGCAGTGATATCTCTCCTTCCACACCCCCTTCTGAATATGGCTTGCATTTCTGTTAGTTCCCTGTCGATGTACTCCTACATCCGCTTTTGAATGATCTTCAGCAAAATTTTACTTGTGTGTGATATTAATGATATTGTTCGATAACGTCCACATTCTTTTGAATCACCTTTCTTTGGAATAGGTACAAATATGGATCTCTTCCTGTTGATTGGCCAGGTAGCTGTCTTCCAAATTTCTTGAGGCAGACAAGTGAGCGCTTCTAGGGTTGCATCAGGTTGCTGAAACATCTCAGTTGGTATTTTGTTAATTCCTGGAGCCTTGTTTTTCAGCAGTGCCTTTAGTTTAGCTTGGACCTCTTCCTTCAGTACCATCAGTTCTTGATCATATGCTCCCTCCTGAAGTGGTTGAATGTCAACCAGTTCTTTTTGGTGCAGTGACTGTGTATTCCTTCCATCTGCTTTTGATGCTTCCTGCATTGTTCAATATTTTGCCCATAGAATTCTTCAATATTACAACTTGAGGCTTGAATTTTTTCTTCAGTTCTTTCAGCATGAGGAATGCCAAGCATGTTCTTCCCTTTTGGTTTTCTCAGTCCAGGTGTTTGCACATGTCATTATAATACTTTTCTTTGTTTTCTCGAGCCACCCTTTGAAATCTTCTGTTCAGCTCTTTTACTTCATCATTTCTTCTGTTTGCTTTAGCTACTGTGCATTCAACAGCAAGTTTTAGAGTCTCTTCTGACATCTGCTTTGGTCTTTTCTTTCTTTCTTGTCTTTTTAATGACCTTTTTCTTCATGTATGATGTGCTTGATGTCATTCCACAACTCGTCTGGTCTTTGGTCATTAATGTTCAATGCGTCAAATCTATTCTTGAGATGGTCTCTAAATTCCGGTAGGATATACTCAAGGTCATATTTTGACGGTTGTGGACTTGTTCTAATTTCTTCAACTTCAGTTTGAACTTCTGTATGAGCAATTGGTGGTCTCTTCTGCAGTCGGCCCCTGGCCTTGTTCTGACTGATGATTTTGAACTTGTTCATCGTCTCTTTCCACAGAGGTAGTTGATTTGATTCCTGCGTATTCCATCTGGTGAGGTACACTTGTTTAGTCACCGTTATGTTTGCCATGAAGAACTTGTTGGTCTTGCAAAATTCTATCATGCGATTTCCTGCATGGTTTCTATCACCAAGGCCATATTTTCCAACTAACGATCCTTCTTTGTTTCCAGCTTTCTCATTCCCATCACCAGGTATTATTACTGCACCTTGATTGCATGTTTGATCAATTTCAGACTGCAGAAGTTGGTAAAAATCTTCAGTTTCTTCATCTTTGGCCCTAGTGGTTGGTGCATAAATTTGAAGAATAGTTGTACTAACTGGTCGTCCTTGTTAAGTGTATGGATATTGTCCTGTCACTGACAGCAATGTGCTGCAGGATAGATCTTGAAATATTCTTTTTGATGATGAATGCCACGCCATTCCTCTTCAATTTGTCATTCCAGGCATAGTAGACATTGTGATTGTCTGATTCAAAATGACCAATACCAGCCTATTTTAGCTCACAAAACCATTGCTGTCAAGTCAATTCCTACTCATAGCGAGCCTATAGGACAGAGTAGAACTGCCCCTATAGGGTTTCCAAGGAGTAGCTGGTGGATTTAAACTGCCAACCTTCTGGTTCACAGCTGAACGCTTAACCACTGCGCCCCCAGGGCTCCATTTCAGCTCACTGATGCCTGGGATATCGATATTTTTGCTTTCCATTTCATGGTTGATGACTTCCAGTTTTCCTAGATTCACACTTCATACATTCTGTGTTCCAATTATAATGGATGTTTGCAGCTGTTTTTTCTTTTATTGTGATTAGAATTTTTAGTGTATCTAAAATTCCTATCACTGTAAAAAGGATGATTTTCATCATTTTCTGTTTTTAAGAAACAAACTTAAAATTCAGTCGATCGCATCAAATTTTTAACTCTCCACTGTTTTAAAATCCTTATTCTAATGTTTTTCCAGTTAAAATACTGATCTCTTTATTTTTAGGAAAGATCCTCATGGATTTTTTGCTTTCCCCGTCACGGATGCTATTGCTCCTGGGTACTCAATGATAATAAAACACCCGATGGACTTTGGCACAATGAAGGACAAAATCGTCGCTCATGAATACAAGTCTGTTACAGAGTTTAAGGTAGGTCGATGTCTGCTCCTGAGCTGGTCGTCAAGCTCTGTGTGCGCACGTTTCTGTCCCGGAAAACACTCCATCTGTCTTGGGCCGCCACAGCTACACACACAGACATACACACAGAGACACACACACACGCCCGTGCCTGCGTTAGTGTTCCCCAGACACAACGTGAAGGAAATGGTTGTGATTTTCCCAGTGTTGTCGTCTGGAATCTGGACTCTCTGTTGCATGCTATTAAAAATGTTTTGTTTATGTTCTTTTTTACATCACTGTGCTGGTATAAACAGCAGTGATGTATCCAGTGTGGCCTGGCACAAGAATGGGGACTAGGACACGTGGCTTCCTGATTCTAGCTTTGTCCTGTGGTCACTGGGTGTTAGTGTTGGGAGTCGTGCGTTTTTACGTCTACCAAGTATCTGGTCATAGCCCTGTCCTCGTCCCTGGCTCTGAGAACTGCAAACTGCTCTGTCTTTGAACTGGGCCTGGGCAGGAGTTGTCTTGTTGGTGAGCAGAACGAATACGTGGTAACATTGACAGCAGTGTCGTTTAGATAAGCCTGAAGGTCCTCTCTGAGGACCCGCTGGCTTTGGGTTTTGACGTGTGGGCACTTGCTACGGGGCTGCTGACCCCAGGAAGCCCAGCCCGCAGGCTGGAGGTGACCTGCATGTGGCTCAGTCAGGCCCGGCAGTCCAGCCAAGTCCTGCATGTCCCTCCCTGTGGCCCCAGCCTGGTCCCTCTCCTAGTGACAGCCATGAGGTGAGCAGCAGTCACTGTCACGTGTCCTCCTCAGGCGTGAGTTCTGAGCCCGTGGCCGCCGTGCCCACACTGATTAGCATGGTGGATAGCGGCCTCTCGTCCCGGGGACCCTGGTCCACAGCCAGCAGTGAGTTCAGACAGTGACGTCACAGGGCCCACGGCCAGTCAGCCAAGGACAGAACTTAACACACCTGCATGCTCATTCTCCATCCTGACGTCAGCTCACCTGTGACAGGTGTGTGCTGAGCAGTGTGGTTATCATAACAAAATACTGACGTCTCAGATGATTGACTTTTTCAGTGTGCATTGTTATTCAGTAAGGCTCTCCTTGTTTTAGGGAGGTCTTTCTCTAATAGCATTAGGGTGGCTGTAGACAAGAATTCAGCCTGTATTCTGCAAAGGAGCCCCAGAGCTAAGGGACTTCACTGCCCTGCCCATGCCTCCAACGCGGACCCTCCCTCACAAGAACCGATTGTTGGGTGTCCTTTTCCTCTTATTTCTGAGTTCCTCCCCAAGCGAGTGAAGACGGCCCTGGAGGGGAGAAGCAGAGGAAACCCTTGTTTGTCCTCTCATACGATGATTAAAAAGCAGTCACAGATGGTGACCAACTCTTTACTGGACAATTTTTCATGCAAGTAAAGACCAGTGAAGAGTAGGAAAGCTTCCCTGAAAGAGCTTACCTCTGAGAGCCAGGCTCGCTCGCCCCCCTCTATTGAGCCTTTTCCTCTTGGCCTCCCGCGGCACGGCTGGAACTCTGCCGCCCGGTGAAGTCTCCTTTCTCTTTCTCTCCAGGCGGATTTCAAGCTCATGTGTGACAACGCCATGACCTACAACAGGCCCGACACCGTGTACTACAAGCTGGCCAAGAAGATCCTGCACGCAGGCTTCAAGATGATGAGCAAAGTAAGGAGGCTCCGGCAGCACATGCCGAGAAAGCCTGTCACCCTCCTGCGGTTTTGTGTCACCTCCATCTGCCTGTCCCCGTGGTTGTGTGTCGGTCCTTCTGCTCCAGGGTAGATGCCCAGGCCGCCCCCTCACGCCCCCTCCTCCAGGCACACCCCTCTGCGCCTACTCACCACCCAGCCACCGCGGCCTTTCAGGGTGGTCTCAGCCTGCAGGTCACCTCACTGGATGTGGCCAACCCGCAGCGGGGTCCCGCATGGCCACCACCCTGGGCCCGTCCTGAGTTCTGGGTGCACATCTGTCCTGGGAGCCAGGGTGCATGCGTGTGGGACATTTCCTTGGGCCTGACTAGCCTGTAAGGTAAGGTAAGGGGAGGACCGGGCTCTGTCCTCTCATCGCCGGGCCTCCACAAGCCAGCCCCAGCCCGTCGCGCCGCGCCACGGGAGGTAGCATTAGGCAGGTGAGGGCGTGCACCATCCCATCCCATCGTCACGCACCTTGCCGTGAGGGAGAGTAAAGGCCGCGCCGCTCTGTCCTTTCTGCTTCTAGGAACGGCTGTTAGCTTTGAAGCGCAGCATGTCGTTCATGCAGGACATGGATTTCTCTCAGCAGGCAGCACTCCTGGGCAGCGAGGACACGGCCGTCGAGGAGCCTGTGCCCGAAGTCGTGCCTGTGCAAGTAGAAACGGCCAAGAAATCCAAAAAGCCCAGTAAAGAAGTTCTTAGGTAAAGGTCCGCCAGCACGTGTCCCGTGCTGATGCCGCTGTGCTGGCCGGGCAGGCCGC